CTTTATCTCTGTATCCCCTGGAGGACAAGCAGATCCTCCACATCCCATTCGAGAAACTGAGATGAATTTTTTCTAAGTATTCACAAATCCCAACCAATAAATAGGTTGGACTTTCACTGATTCCACAACACTATCCAGCAAGTCATTACCAGATAATCAAACCAAAGTATTTCACTAAGAAACTGGCAAGTTCACCGACAACATCTCCTGTGCAAACAGGCCTACTCACAAATTGTGCCCCTGCTTTGGCAGCTACTGAAGTGTCCGAGGAGTCTCACAAATTCTTTAATGAAGTTGCCAAGGAAGCCAAGCCCAACGCAATGTCACTCACTTCATTAGAAATGCCAAAAGGCAGAGGGGAAAAGAGCGGTGCAAAGAGTGGCAGGAAGGCAAACAGGTGACTTCCTCCGAAAGGCCATCTCCATTCTCAGGGGGCCTTTGTACTTATATGTAATGGATGCAATCAAAAGCTTCAAGGCTCTGCAGCTCTTCCACAACTGCTTCAGGACAACTGGTGCTTGCTGGTAAAAGAAACTTTTTTTGGCTTCAATTTTATGCACAAAGCAACTTATCGAGCAGTATTAACAGCTTTTAATGGTATGGTTTATTATAGTTATTATGATCATTACCATAACAAGATTCAACAGACATGAAGGTGCGTTTTATGAAACAATAGATTTTATATTACAGGGAAGATGAGTGAGTTGAACCCACAGAACTGCAACACAAGTGTAAATGCGTGACTTTAAACTTGCGTAACATTTGTGTTAGAGTTGGCCTTTGTGCCATTTGATTCCTTTGGATAGTCTTTCTCTCCTGCTGATTTTTAGTTGTTGCATCCTACGCCCTTTCACTATTCACTGTTCATGTCCGGCGTTCATCCCAAGTTAATCTCTTAAGTTTGGTTTCAAGCCACTGGCATATAGGGACTGATATGTAAGTTGTATTTGCTTATTTTCACTTTTGTAGCTTGCCCCATTTATGCAAGGTAGCGTTTCTCTTGCTATGATGTTATGCCTTTGTGTGTGTTTTTTAGTCACTGCCTTGTTATCGTCAGGTGGCTATTTCTAGTTATAATTTTTTCCTTTACCTCGTTTCAAGCAAGCTCTTTTGTCTCTACTTTGTATATATAATTTGTGTTTGCCGTGGCACTTGGTTCATTAATTAGTTCCTTTATTATGTTAGATTCATTTACGCTGTTAAGTCGCCATGTGTTTAATTGAATACAATCGATTGTACAAGTCCCTTATTTAATTCACTTACAGTTTACGAGATTGATTAAAGCTGTCTCTGTAACGTATCCTCTGGTTTGGTTGGTATTTTCTCCGGTCGCCATTTTCTTGGCTCTTCATTCGGTCTTGATGTTCGTTTGCCACAACAATAAGCTTCATGCTCTTACTAAGCCACTTGGATCATTTGGGTAGATTAAGTCGCCAGTTGGGCCAGTTGAATTGTTCCATCAATTTTTATGCCCCAATCTCTAAAATATAATCTTTGACTGAGACACCTGTTTAAGATTATTTTTGCCAGCTTTTCCCTGCCATAAAGAAGTTGTCCATAAATATACATAGTTAGCTTTGAACCCTCTAGTTTTTTATTTTTGTCCATATATCATTAACACACAAACTAATGGCCCATTGACTACAGAAGATGGAGTCTCAGCTGCGTGAATTAGGTCATCCTATTGACAAAGTTGTACCCCTACATCTTCATAAATGACTAAGGGCCTTTGCTTGTAGCAATGGAACAACAAGCAAGGTGTGAAACTGGTCATTTCCAAGATAGTGTAACAACTAAAATTGAAGTATTGATAAGTAAATGATATTATCACTGAGTTGAATTATTTTTACAAAATATGTATATTTGCCTGTTAGTTATGCAACAATCTGCAAAATTTTCTTGAATGGGTTTGCTACAAGGACTATTGAATTTAGGGATCCTCCTAGGCCCTTTCCTCTTCCATTTGGGGGTAAGTTGGTACACTGGGTAGCGCTTTAAATTAGTTTCATTTCTGTTCAAATTTACATTTACCTGTCAAGCAAAACATAAATTTCGTATATGATGAAATATGAACAATTTGATATATTCGATTGTAACATTCACAGTTCAGATCCTGTGGATGAGACACACTCTCTCCTAAGATAATATAACATATCAAGGGGAGTCTCTGATGAGCCTCACAATAGATTGTCTCTGTAAATTTTATGATGTTGATTTCTGGTGTATAGTTAAAGGGACAAGGCAAATGAGTCAGTGTGACATCAGTTAGCCTTCCTTGCTTTAACCACCACCCATCAGTTCCTCAAGACAGTTTGACCAGAAGTTGTGGCCTCAAAAAATGGGTTGGTAGATGAAATGCTCCTTTTTAAGATGGAAGATCAAGAGATCTTCACCTGGAAGCAATAGCAGAAAGCTAACTCCCTTGCAGTTAAATCCTTTTAGCAATTTATTCCAAAAGATACAAGTTCATGTGGAGCACAATACATTCTTCAAATACAGCAAGGCAAGCAAAAGCAATTCTAAATGATACAAAAACACTTTGTACCAGGCTTTAAATATGCATGTCCTCTACCACCACTAACCAAAATACTTTCCCTAAAGTCAGGAACCACACTCATAGCAATAACTGCAGAAACCATGCAAATGGTTATAACGTGTATATCACAAAAATGTTTTTATCAGTTTTTGGCAATTCAATATGTATGAAGTGAGACAGTTAAAAATGAGACTTTTTCCTACGACTGCTTTTTTCCACCCAAAACTTGCTTGATTCCTATATAAAACTGTCTCAAAAGACTGAGAACACGAGATGTTCTTTGATCACTTGATCAGCAAAAAGTGTTTTACGGGGAAGCCATGGGTACTTGTTAAACTCTGTCCTTTTCCAACACATCTTTCCAGGATGTCTAGTGATTCCAAGTTATGTAATGAATCGTGTGACTCTTGTGAAAGTCTATTGAGAGCACAGTGACAGTTCTGATAGCAAAGCTAGAGTTATTGATGGTGTCATCATCCCATATCAAAATGAGCCACTTGCTGATTGGGGCAAAGAAGAAAGCTCAAATGCAAGTGGAGAAACAGATATTGATGGACTTTATCATCTACTTTAAGTCAACATTTGAAGGAAAGATCCTTTAGAAGACGCGGATTAGGACACAAGTGACTAGAAGTAAATATTGGGCAGATATTTTCAAGTATTCAAGAGAAAGGTGGCTTTTCCCACCTAATATATTGGCCAGTAAAAGGTCAGGAAAGCTTTTCCCAGTTTAATTTCACACTTCTTCACATTTCCAACAAGGAGAGGAGACATAAATAATTTTATTAAAAAAAAAAAACAATTGAAAGGAAATTGTAAATTTGACATTTGAAAGGGTGTGGTTGAAACCCAATGTCTTCACTTATTCCTGTAGAACTTAATTAATTTTGGAATTTTATAAACTTTCAAATGTTAGTAAAGAAGGATTTAAAGTAATCTTAAGAAAGCTTTCCAAAGATATTCTACAATTTCCATTTAACAAAGCTATTACAATTTCAAACCAGAAGGATGATTTTTTTAATTACTAAGCTATTATTCAGTTCATTATAGTCTTATTTATTATATTATTGTACATAGCAGTTCCACATCAGCTGATGTTATTTACTATTATTGTTATTATGATTCTACATACTAGGTCCACATCAGATGATTTTATTTATTGTTAAGTTATCATTAAGTTTACTATAGTTTATTAAGTTTATAATATTACTACTCTATATAGAAGCTCCACATCAGCCTGTGGCTGCCAATGCAATATTGTCTCCAAGCAATTTTGTAATTATTAACCTGCTTAAACAAATAAAGGATTGATTGATTGAAGACAATTTCTTTTAGAGTGAAAAGCTCTGGTCAGATGATTTGCACAGGAAATACCTATCTGCCAACAGGAGCACAAAACAAAACATTCAAAGGAGACAAATTCATGTCTGCAAACTAACCTTTTTGTCTACAAAAAATTGCCAAACACATTACCATTCCCATATTGAAAGACATTTCTCATACTCCCAATAAAAAATGCCTTTACATATGTAATTATTTATGCCAAGTTTCTGAGAACAATTAAGCTCCTGTCTCTTTTATTCTACTTTGAAAACAGACATTATGGTTTAAAGGAGTTATGAAAATGCTGTTGGAGTGCTTTTTAATAAGCACAAAAATCCATCCAACAGTTTCCCAAAGTGCAATTCAAACACCACATATTTTGAAATTAACTGTTGCCCAACAACCAACTGTAGTAAGCCAAGAGTCTAAGAGTTGTAAAAATTATTTCAGTTTTATAATTTTTTTCCTTGTGATAGCCTAGTTCCTTAATTTTAACAACCACTGGGGAGATAGCTTTCAAAATGCTATCTAAAGGAAAGGATTTGAGAGTACCATAAACATATGTTATAAACACACAAACAAACCTAAATTCCTAGAGCTTCCCAAGCTTTAACCTACAACAGTTCAAAGTCAGTCAAGTCAGATTTCTCCCCTCAAATACACATTGAAACTGTCATGGAACAATCAAAGATGACAAAGTTACTATGGTGTTCAAAATGACATCAAAATAAATTCACCAAAAGGGTGTGTTCAAGCTATAAAAATCTTCCTTGCGAGGTGATAGCCTTCAAGCTTGAAAGAAGTGTGTGGTTTATCCTTTTCTGTGATATTGTGAGACAACATCAACATTTTACAGTCACATGCTTTTTTTTTCTATTAAATGTCACAAACTTGCTTTAGATCCTTGAAAACTTTAACTGTGCAAACTGCTGAAGAAATATTTTCAGAAAAACTTTTCAGCTATAAGAACAATTTGTGTGGGAGAGAGGAAGATTTGGGTATATAAACTCCCAAGATAGCAACTGCGGAATTTGCAGATCAAGAGCCAATAAAAAAATAAAAACAAGCTGATGTATTTGAAATTACATATTCATCTTCTTTAAGGTTATCAACAATGTTTGTGAGAAAGAGCTCCCTCTTTCCAGTTAAAGGCCCTCTCATGTTAGGATAATGATTAACAAGCCTTCCATATTGTACCTTTTTGTACTCAACACTTAAACAAAACAAATCTCACAGCTCCTCCAAAAATGCCCAAACATCAGGCTTGGATTTTAAAACTACTGATGCCATCCATTCCTCACAGAAACATCTGCAAATACAACAGCAGTGAGTTTAGATTCATAATTGAGCCTCTTCCACTGTAAGAGGCTACATAGAGAACACTAATGGAAATTTCTTTGATACACATGATTTGTACTCTAGCGAAGATAAAATTAACAACACTTGGTCAATATTTAGAAGTAGTTCATATTCATTTGCAGGTGAGACTCAGTCCCAAACTGCTGACAGTTACAAATGCCATAGAAATACCATTTTGGGCTAGAAATAATGGGAAGCTTTGTAGTTCTTCGAGAAGTAAAGCAATAAATTATCTAGCTAGACAAATAGTAACAAATAAATTCTTGCAGGGAGATAACAAATTTTAAGAGCTTAAAGGATCACTAAGGGTCAAACCTCACTGAATTGTACACTATTTATGCAAGCGTTTTTGGGAGCCAGAGAGTTACAAATCTAGCAACTAATATTGTAAAAAAAAAGCCCAGTGAGGCAGTTATTGAGATCAACTCGAAATCAACAAGTGTGCTACACTCACGGCTAACTTGCTAAAACTGTCCATTGCTTTGACAGGATCAGCCAGCGTGCCATTGAAGACAAAAAAACACTTGAATATATTCACTATAAACTCAATCAGAGGGCATGTAAAGCCACTTTTTGTGTGGGATTTCCCACACTTTGTCAAGGCCCGCGAAATTTATTTCTTTATTTCTTTATTTATTTGTCCACGAGAGAGAAGTGCTTGTCACGTGGTTTCTATTTGCGTTCAGTGAGCCGTGAAGACTGGATTCCAGTCGGCTTTTTTCATAGTGTATTGTACGGCAGCCATTTCTCTTCTCAGTTGTTGGGTTTTGGAGAACTTATTCGGAATTTCATATTTGTTTCTTGGGGATTTTCGTTTCCAAGGTAAGGATAAGTCATTTCATATTTTCACGGGTTCTTTGTGTGCTTTAACTTTTCAATTTTGTTGTGGGAGCTTCACGATTAAGCTCTCACGAAAGGCGATTACGTTTGTACACCTGGTTTGTGTTCTTTCTTTCATAATCTGAGGCGTTTGTTTCGTTATTTCTTCAGGTGTCTATAACAGAAGATTTTTTCACGTAAGCCAACATGCTGAAACGCGGCTTGTGTTCAGTGCAGGTTGCTGGTAAAGCTTAAGGGTAACACTCTTCATAGCACTCTGGCCATTCCTGCCAATCAATCACTGAGAAATTACAAACAGCTTGATTCAAGTAGACTAAACACTTTGAGAAGTCAATTGATTTTTGTTGATGAAATCTCAGTGGTAGGAAATGGTAATGATAATTTGCAATACAGCTAAACAATAGGCTTAAAGATATAAAAGGCTGTAGAGAGGATTTTGGAGGTGTGAGCATAATTGCTATTGGTGACTTATTCCAATTAGAATCTGTTATAGATGCTTATATTTTCAAAGACCTCAAAAATGAAGATTTATGCTGTTCTTTCTCCCAGTTTATGGCATAAACACTTTAAAATGTTTGAACTTAATGAAATCATGGGTCAAAGAGACAGCAAATTGCTTGTAGAATTACTTAATAGGTTGCGTAAAGGTAAACACACAGTGGCTGACATTACAAAACTTAAAGAGAGCTATACAAGAAGACATCAACAACCCAATAGATGCACCTCACTTATTTATACAGAATGCTAAAGTAGATGAATTTAATCAAAGGGCCCATAATGCAGCCACAGGAAACAAATTCACAATAAATGCTCAAGATAGTGTTATTGGAGCTATCTCTCCAGAGCTAAGAAACAAAATACTAAGACAAATACCCAATGATCCAAGAAAAACAAAACAGTTAGCCTCAACCCTTTGTCTTGCTGAGGGTGAAAGAACACACCTTGTCATGAATGTACGAACCGAAGATGGCATGACAAATGGTGCTGGAAATGTTGTTAAACGAGTTCAGTTACATCAACAAACCAAACCATCTGGTATTGTATGGGTACAATTTGACCACTCAGATGTAGGTCAGAAAACAAGGAATGAAAAAAGACATTTGTATGTACAAGGAATTGAACACACATGGACACCAGTAAACCTTGTGACTACACAGTTTGCGATAGGTAGAAACAGAACAGCACAAGTTGTTAGAAGACAATTTCCACTGCGTCCCGCAGCAGCAAAAACAATTCACAGGTCACAAGCTGATAATGACAGTAGAATTGTTGTGGATTTTAGTACCAGAAATACTATTCCACACATACATTATGTGGGACTCAGTAGAGTGACTGCTATAGAAGGCATATATATTTCTGATTTGTGTGAAAGCAAGATTGCTGTCAATCCAGATGGAGAGATTAAGAACAACTGCAAAACTTAAGCTTTGCATCTCCCCTCTCCATGACATAACATTTTCCCTTCTTAAACTGTTATCTTAATGTAAGGTCTCTTCACAAACACATAGAAGATATACGTAAAGACTTAATTTATCTCAGTGCTGATATCAATATTTTCACAGAAACAAGATTTAATTCTCAAGATAATAATGACATGTATGACATTGCTGGTTATGTTCTCTTCCTTAATGATAACCTTAATTCCAGCAATGGATCAAGGTCTTATGGTGGTACAGCTGTGTACAGTAAAATCCCATACTTACCTGGATACCCCTATTGTCACAATATTCTTGGTTTTCACCCACGTGACCTATACCTTGACAACGGTTGCTACGCCGCCATATTGGTGTCGTATAATTCAAACATTTCGCGTGTTATCAAAGCTTTAGAAATATTTTTCATCATGGTTCATTGTATTATGGTTGATTGTTTTCATAATAGTGGAAAGACGAAAGGTATAGGGTTTTATAGGATTCCAGTAGTAGTCACTAACCAAGGAGAAAAAGCAGAAGAGCTAAGCAGAGAACGAAGAGAAAGATGGATCGCCGCCATTAGCCGCAAAGACATCACTTCGAAGGATGTCCTCAGTAATGAAAGAGTCTGTGGACGACATTTCGTGTCAGGGCAATCTGCAAAACCCTGGGATAAGTACAACGTCGACTGGGTTCCTACTTTGAATCTCGGGAAGACAAAATATCAACAGGAAAACCACGACATTAAAGAGGCAAGAGCTAAACGAGCTAAGGAACGCCGCAAAAGATCACTCGAGCGTCAAGAACGCGAGGCAGCTGAGAAACGAAAGAAAATCGATGTCAGTGGCCTTCCCGTCCATGATGTGGATTTCAGTGATCCTAAAGAAGGATCATCCAAGGAAATTGATTCTTCTGAGGATATTTTTGATCACGATTGCGCATTTCAAGACCACACTTGCTCAACTCTCGTTGAGCAAGTGTGGTCTTGAGCGTCCAAGAACAGTATGCTCACTTCAGTGACCTAATTCACATAGGGTTAGATTCTATCCTTCCCAAAAAGCGAGTTAAGTTCCACCGAAACGACGCACCATGGATTTCACCCAAACTCAAGGCACTTATAGCACACCGTCAAAGAGCATATTACCAAGACAACAAACCATTGTTCCACTACTACCGGAACAAAGTAAACAGGGAACGGAAACTCTGCAAACGCTCTTATTACAACACTAAAGTCAGCGTTTTGACCGAAAACAATCCTAAAATGTGGTGGTCCGAATGTAGGCGGTTATGTGGAATGAACAAAACATCTACAAGTGTCGCAAATCAGCTCCTAGCAAGTAAACCAGCTACCTCAATCAACCTTAAGATCTTGGCTAATGAAATCAACACAGCTCTGCTAGAACCTCAAGCTTCGTTTGACCCACTTTTAGATAATATCGAAACTGTGAGCACTGAGGGTTTTAAAACTCCCATTATTTCACTGGAAGCTACCTTCAAATGCCTTAGTACGGTCAGCTCCTCCAAAGCTGGGGGCCCAGATAATATCCCAAACTGGGTCTTGCGTGACTTCGCTCCTGAGCTCGCTCAACCTCTTCGTTGTATCATCAATTTCTTGATTAGTCAAGGGACTTTACCGGACATTTGGAAATGTGCAAACATCACCCCTCTTCCCAAAACAAAGATAGTTGAGGATGCGGCGAAAGATTTGAGACCTATTTCACTGACACCAACATTGTCCAAAATTGCCGAGCACTACGTCGTCCATGAACATGTGAAACCAGCACTTCTGAAACGCCTGGAACCCGATCAATTTGGGTGTATTCCAGGATCCTCCACTGCGCATGCATTGATAAACCTGATGCACAATTGGGCGCAAGCAACAGACGGAACGGGGAACACCGTGCGGATCTTTGCGTTGGACTATAGAAAAGCCTTCGATCTGATAGATCACAGCCTCTTGCTATCGAAACTCTCGACCTACAATATCAACCCTTACATAATTAATTGGATAATAGCCTTTCTTAAAGATAGGAAACAAAGGGTCAAACTTGCACATGATTGTCTCTCAGAGTGGGGATCGGTCCGAGCAGGAGTACCGCAGGGAACAAAATTGGGACCGTGGCTATTCTTGGTTATGATAAATGATTTGAAAGTACCATCAGCCAGTGATTGTATAAAATATGTAGATGACACGACAGTGTATGAAATCATAAGCAAGGGTGGTCCTAGCAATGCTCAGTCTATGATAAACGAAGTAGCTACCTGGTCAACACTTAACTCGTTTCAACTTCATCCGAAAAAATGTAATGAGCTAAGAGTTTCCTTCGTGCGCTCCCCTCCTTCCTACGATCTCATAGAAATTAATGGCTCTAAGGTTAGCGCCGTTAGTGTCGTGAAATTACTGGGTGTGTATTTTCAAGACAACCTCAAGTGGAACACTCACGTTACTGAGATGATTAAAAAGGCCGCTAAGCGCCTTTACTTTTTAACTCAGTTAAAGCGAGCTAAGTTACCATCACCAGAATTAGTGAATTTTTATGTTGCTTGCATTCAATCCGTCTTACTTTATGGATGTCAGGTCTACCATTATAGTCTCCCCGATTATTTGAGCTTAAGTTTAGAGCGTGTCCAAAAGAGAGCCTTGAAAATTATATATGGTTATGATAATCATTATAGAGAAGTGCTTCAGATGGCAGAG